AATCAATTACATGGGAATGAACCATTACTTACATTCCTTGATGAACAAATATGTAAGTGTCAGCACAACTGTGTGACCACTGAAGAGGAAGTCTCCACACAAGATGTGCGACCCAGTTATGGACAATCCACCACCAGAAATCAACCGGAGAATCCGCTGTATTTTTGCCTGAGAGTCTCCATTGAGCTGAATGACACAAGAAGAATCAGAAGAAAATTTACAAGCTGATAAAAATTATGTTTCCAGCCTAAGAGTGTGACAGAAAGGTCACCAGGTTGTGATTTTTCCCTCCCTTCTAACCTAAAATGTCAAAAAGAATCCAAGGGGGAAGGTCCTCAAATTAGATTCCATGCATTGCACTGGCCAACTTTATTGACACATTTTAAATTATTCAATATGTTGCTAATAATATGTTTTGGTGGGCATTGTGTCCTTGGGCAAAGCTTTTAAAAATATTAATAACCAATGACTTCACCACAGTTATGCACTAAAAAGCAGATCAAAGCTACTTTCTTTCCTTTTTGTAGGGGGAAGTGGAGGTTTGGGACAGTTAATATTTTATTCTGTTGTATACCACATTACTAATATTCTGCAGTGCCTTCGAATCTTGTATTAAGTGGGCAGCCTCAAGTGTACCTAACAGCTATATTAATGTCTGATCAAAACACTACAGTTAAAAAAAGAAGAGCTACAACTCATTAAATCATTCAAATAGGATTGAAAATGACAGATTAGTGATGTACTGGCAGTTTTAAAAATGACTAGCTTTGATCAGGGAAAACATCCCCAAAAGAACCTATGTGCTGAGGCGTGGGGTCAGGAGAGGGCTGCTGTGGTCAGGGGCATTCTATAAACCTCCTAGAAATCATTATGGTGAAATGGAAAATAACGTTGGGCTAAGGCAGGAAGTGCAGGCAATGGGCAAAAGTTTACTAACCCTATTAAACTTTAAGCACACAGGAAGGAGTTGGTCAAAACAGTAGACATAGAAAATCGGAATACAGAAATGCTGGGGGGAGCTACGTGAAAGGTTTCAGATGAGTCTAGAAAAGCACCGAGAGGCTTAGAAAATCAAAGGATACTTGGAAAGAGATCAAGAAATAGTGTGAATGGAAGAGAAACACAGAGAGCCCATTACTGACTACTTCTTAGGAACCGGGGGGACAGGCACATGACATGCTGCTTTTTGTACTCAATGATGATCCTTCTGAGAAACTGACCCTTGACTTGTGGCTGGCCCAACCTCCACAGTGGTACTCTGGTGGTGTGAGCACAGTCAAATCTTATGCAAGTGGATGCATGATATAGGAGGGTCAGAATGTGCACAGGGGGACGAGAGTCTAGGAGGGGAGAAATAAGTCAGTCCCCAAAGCAGGTGGCAAAACATCCTATCCAGGACAATAAGGAACTGGGTCAAGAATCCTTGCCTAAAAGATCCCTCTTATGGTACAAAAGTGTCCTGATTTTAAAAAATCATATTGGGGGGGGGGCACTGGGCTTGTGGCTCCGTGATAGAGCACCTGCTTAGCATGTGTGAGGCACTGGGTTTGATCCTGAGCATCACATAAAATAAATAAATAAAGGAATTGTGTCCATCTACAAATAAAAAAAATGTTTAAAAATCTTATGGATCCAGAAAGCCTTCTGGTATTGAAGAGACTATTGTAAAAAGTTGAACATACCAGATTGCTTGGCAGTTAAGAATAAGGTGCTGCGTAGAAAATGACAACACAAGCTTAGAGGAAGGGTGGGAAATGCAACTGTAGGCTTTAAAGGAGTTTCAAAAGCATGCAGACTGTTGACAGAGTTGCATGACTCGCTTCAGGCATACCGCATAGAAGTCATGCGACAAGCTACATAATGCACTGCGACATGCCCTTGGTATTGAGGATTCAGTCAAGCCATGTGCTTTATCAGATTGGCCACATGAGGAATTTCTTCTGATGAGGTTGGAACAACTACTGCCAACACTGAGATCAAATAAAAAGGTACATACGCTCTGTCCAACCATTGTGTTCCCAGTTTCAAAGGACATATTATTCTTCATTTCAAAACCATAACATTTTTTTTTCTCTACTCACATATCCCAACTCTATAATTTTCTGAAGGCAAAAACACTTAAAGCCTCAGTCCCTTTACTTGGGGTCAACGGTGTAAAGAAATTAGGAGCTGAGATAAACCACACGCCCCCTTTCCTCTGCATTCAGTGGTGTTGGTGGACAGACATCCCTCCCCAAATCCATGGTTTTGTTTTCCAAAGTCTCAGTTGCTCACTGCCAACATAGTCAGAAAGTTTTTTTTTTTTTTTTTATATTTATTTTAGTTTTCGGTGGACACAACATCTTTGTATGTGGTGCTGAGGATCGAACCCGGGCCACACGCATGCCAGGCGAGCGCGCTACCGCTTGAGCCACATCCCCAGCCCAGTCAGAAAGTTTACATGAAAAAATTCCTGAAAAAATATTGATTAGTTTTAAAATAACTTCTATTGCAGTATTGTTATAATTATTCTATCATTAGTTATTGTTAATCTCTTACTGTGCCTAATTTATAAGTTAACTTTACTCATATGTACATATGTATATATGGGGAAAACATAGTATACCTAAAGTTCAATATCACCTGAAGTTTCAGCACCCATTGAGGGTCTTAAAACATACTCCCCACAGATAAGTGGGGGCTACTGAATGGAGATTCCTGATACACTTGATTATATATGGTGTTTTCAGAACAGAGGAAAGATTCTCTTCTTGTCTTCTTAATTCCTCAGTACTATTACTGCCAATCCTAATAATTCATGCTTAGTATAAATGCTAAATAAAACCACAAGTAAAGAAAAGAAAAAAACTGGTGAAGAAAAGGAGAATAATGGGTGTTAGAATTAATGGATTTATTTTTTCTAGTTCTTTTCCAATTTACTGGGCCTCCCCATCACATGTCACAAGACTCTCAATACTATTAATTTCTTTGTTTTCAGACACAAGTCTGTGCAGTAACTGGATATGGAATTAAAGATGCACAAACCTAAAGAGAAGCATCAATCAAAACAGCCAAGCAGACTAGGGCTCCAATGTTCCTAAGTGTTCTTACAACTGCGACCTCCATTAAACACCTCCCATAAAAATAACTGAGGTGCAGGAGAGTCCAATATGGGGTCTGCCAAACCAGAAACTTACAGGCTGTCCCTTCCATTAAGGAGAGAGGTCTTTGGCCATCTATGGCTGGGATAGAGGGGAGAGCTGTCCGGAGAGCTCTCCCAGGGAAGGAACCCATGCTCTATCCCAGCCAAACATTCTTGGGTCAAAAGGATTTAGAAAAACTAAATGATCTCATAAAATCATTTAATAATCAATAAACCAAAATTTATCTAAATACACATTGAAAAAATACAAAAGTCTTGACTGGAAACCAAAGCGGGGGTTGGTGGCTGAAGCAAACTTTAAGTAAAGGACTTAAAGTGAGCTGCAGGATAGATGAGAGAGGGGGTAAAATGTGGAAGTCACGGGTTCACGATGGTGACTCCTGTGATCACATCTGGTGGATTGCAAACTGCAGGAGCCAGTCACTAGCTGGGACACCCTCCGATAGTGAGTGATTTCAGTACACAGAGCCCTGGCACTGCTCATCACGAAGGGCATGCCATGGAGCCAGAAGCACAGGCAACAGGTAGATTATCTCACAGCCTCCTAACCACAAAACTCTGAGTGGCACTCAGTGCCAGCCGGTGAACCACATTTAGAATGCAATTCCAAACTCCTCTTCTGTAGCACCTCATCTCTAATCAGGCAGAGTGATCTGGAACCAGAACCTACAGCTGCCTGTGCTTTGGGAAGAGGTGCTGACAAGTGAACACAGCAGATGATTAGTTAAGGAAGCTCCCCAAGTTTCCATCAGGAATGATTGTGGCTCAGTTATCCCACAGCACATTTACCGTTGTGGCTCCTGAAAATTGCAACTCTTTCATGGAGGGCAATCTTTAATCTACTGTCCTTCCATAATCATAGCAATCCATCCCTGCAAACCTCATCCATTAAAAGGATGGGCTTGCCCTTTTTTTCCTGTGGCCATTTCTTCACTCAACACACTACAACAGGACATTAGAAGAGTTTATTGTGCTTCTGAACTCCTCCCATGCCTTGAATTAGCTTCACTAAAAAGCAGCCAATGTGTACACTGTTTTAATTACAGACACTTTCTGCTTTGATGACTTTGGAAAATTATGGCTTCTCCCAACCACACCTATATTTGGTAAGGGAGACTGCTGGCTTCTTCAGAACAACTCTATTTTTTCCTTTACCTCAGACATCTGCTTAGTGTTCAGTAAAATATGATGTTAGACTTCATTCCCTGTCTAGAAAGCACATGATTTGTACGCTTCCATTTTATAAGCAAGTCTATACAGTTACTGGATATGGAATTAAAGATGTACAAACCTAAGGAGAAGCATCAATCAAGGTATGCAAAGGTCTAAGGGGATTAACAGCTCTCCCAACAGGACAGAAATTGATTGCTGCTCAGGGCCGTTTCAGGAGACATCCCCATACAGTGTCTTTGCAGAAGGCTACCCTGCCTTTTACAACTGCTAAAAACTTTGAGGGTCATCCTTGACTGTTTTCTCTCAAATCCATATCCAACTTATTAACACAGCCTATTGATTCTGCCTTCAAAATATGTCCTGAATTAAATGATTTCTCATCAATTTCACTGCCACCATTCAGGTTTAAGTTCTTACAGTGGGTCATAAGAGCCTCTGAAACCTGTGGTGTGTACCCCCACTACTGCCCCCCAAACTCCCTGCTTTTCCTCTGACCCAAAGCAACTGAAATATTTGCTTGGCCTGGAGCTCATATCCCATCCTGGGGCTGTTCCCTTGCCTGGTTCCTGCCCAAATGCTCTCTTATTAAAGAAGTCTTTCCTTATCTCTATAAAATAGTTCCTACCCACTTACTGCTCCTCATCAGACAATCACCTGACTAATCATCATGTGATACATCTGAAATTATCATCTGTCATCCTTCAATAGAACATTAGTTCTAGGGGCAGGACTTCATTTAGGTTATTATTGGGCCTGGGAACATAAGCTCAATATTTGTAGAATGAATGCATGAATGTATAAGAAAATGAGGTTACAAAGCAGAAAAGCAAAATGATGGTAATGTTCAATTAGCAGAAAATGATATTTTTATACACAAAGATGTACTTTTACCAATTTTGATTTCTTCCCACAATCTAAAGAAACATAAAAAATATGTTAGATTTCAGTGAGCACCTATGAAAGTATGTATACGCATGTTCCATACAGTGGGTGTTTGGTAACTGTTTTCTTGATTCCCTCTAAATGGGAATGCAAAGCTGCTTACCTTTGGAGCACACTGGAAATGCATTCCAGGCACAGGGAGAGTAGTAACGTACATTGTAATACAGCGATATAGGTATAAAGTTCCAATGATAAAAAAGAATCTGCGCCCCACTATTGACCTAAAGGAAGAAGAGGGATGGGGAAAGACAAGCTTACTGGTTGCTTTTGTTCTTAATGCAATCAATAAAACCTAAGTCAAGAAAGAAAACTTTAACAGGTTAAAAAATAATTAAGAATAGCATTAACAAACCAGTTTCACACAATTTAAAGGCTATGAGCTGTTCATTCTGTAATTCCATGGTGATACTGTACTTCCATTTCCAGAAATAATGATTCATGTGCTACAATAAATGTAGGTGATTTGGAGCCCAAAATGACTAAGGGTGTAGGAGTGTGGGCATTAAAGTAGACCAGGAATTTAGATGATCCCCTCTCTCTTAAAAAAATGTCACTCTTTGCCAGCGAATTCAATGACTTCTATGTTTTCAGTCAACTCATTGATTAATAAAACCCTCAAGGACATATCAAAGATATAAGTGAGCCACAGTCACAAAGGAATTAACTAATGAGCCAGGTGATGTGACATAATTGGACACACAGGGAAATGTGACAACCCATTAAACTCAAGTTCTATAAACAAGGTTTATTTGGGGACCATCTGAAGGTACTTTGACAACTTGGGAATGAACTATATTTTCTCTGACTAAACAAATTTCCGGAGAATTACATTTTGAAGATGTCCAAAGTGCCCTTATATGTTAAGGACATTTAATAGTGAAGCTGTAAATTGATTTACTTACTTTTATTCAATCTCCATCAAAGAGGAAAAAGAGGAGTACGAAGCTTTTGTATGCAGTTTGATTGTGTTTATTGCAGCACTGTTCACAATAACCAAGAAATGGAGATAACCTAAGTGCCCACCAACTGATGAATGGATAAGGAAAATGTAGTGCCTATACACAGGGAATTCTATTCATCCATAAAATGATGGCATCCTGTCATTTCTGACAATATGGCTGGGACTGGAGATCATCATATTAAGTGAAATAAGCCAGGCACAGAAAGACAAGCACCACATGATCTCACTCATGGGGAATCTAAGAAAGTTGATCTCACAGAAGTTGAGAGTACAGCAGTGTTGCCAGAGGCACAGGAGGTTAGGTGAGCAGAAGGAATGGGGAGAGGTTGATCAGTGAGTTCTAAGCAACGGTTAGACAGGAACAAGAAGTCCTGGTGTGGTACTGCACAGTAAGGTGACTACAGATAACATTAATGTACTGCATATTTCATAAAAAAATGTTTAAGGACTCTAAATGTTTTTACTATGAAGAAATGATAAATGTTGAGGAGATAGGTATGTTTAATTTTATTTAAATATTACGTATAAGGAGGCTGGAGTAGTGGCTCAGCAGTAGAGTGCTCATCTAGCATGTGTAAGGTATTGGGTTAGATCCTCAGCACCACATAAAAATAATAAAATAAATATATAAATGTCCAACTACAACTAAAAAAAATTATTTTAAAAATATTACATATAGGGCTGGGGTTGTAGCTCAGTTGTGGAACGTTTGACTTGTACGTGGGAGGCACTGGGTTTGATCCTCAGCACTACATAAAATAAATAAAGGTATTGCATTTATCTAAAACTAAAAAAAATGTATTTAAAAAAATATTACATGTATTCAAACATCACATGACAGTTCAATTTTTTCTTAACATTTTTATGTATGAGTTAAAAATCATTTAAAAGTAAAGAAAGACAAAAATGCCTAGGTAGACATCAAGGGGTCCGAGTGTCCTCGCAGCTCAAGGTGACAGTCCCTTTTTTGTTGTTTGTTTGGTCTAGAAGCTCTGCCTCTGGGAATGGAAAATGAGTGGGATTCCTTTAACCTCTGGGTTGCTAGTTATAACTTCTCCAGAACATAAAATATATTATTGCAATTTTCCCACTCAGAGCTACCAGACTTTCCAAAGTAGAACTGATCAAAGACTTCTGGAATCACAGTGAATTTCAGGGTGAGACATGTTTGAAGTTTTTCCAAAGACTGTGGTTCTGACATGGATCAAGTTCTAATTCAGGTAACTATTGGATATTCTAATTTAAAGAATTGTGTACAAATACATATTTTAGCTGCCTGACACCAGTAGCTATTTTAAGAATGTTTCAGGGTTTCTGGGATTTAAAAAAAAAAAAGAACACTCTCTAGACTATGAAAGAATTTCTTTATTCCAAGACTTGCTATCCTAGCTCTGCCTTTTCTCCTACTGAGCAAGGTAACCAATAGTGCTCTCTCCCCACTTGGTTAAAGGAAGAACAATTCACCCTTTGACTCAACCACAGGTCCCAGAGGAGTGCTATTTGAATCGTGCTGCCTGCTTTTAGACAAGGTCAAGGAATGAGCAGAAAATTATAAGTTCATTATATTCATTCCAGCATTCTGAGTTTAGCTATACTCAGAACAGAAAACCTAGGTGAAACAAGCACTCTGTAGCATTATGTAGAAAAATAACCACTGCTTATGATTTCTTTCCCACAGCTTTGAGAGGTGCTTTTAATAGAGCAAAGAAGAATTTCTCATTGGGCTGAGATGTCTAAAAGAGGTAAAGCTGGGTGTGGTGGTACATGCCTGTGATCCCAAGTTCAAAGTCAGCCTCAAAAACTTAGGGAGACCCTGTCTCAAAATAAAAAGTACAAAAGGGCTGGGGATGTGTCTCAGTCGTTAAGTGCCCTGGGTTCAATCCCCAGGACCAAAAATGAATAAAAGAGATATAAAAAGGTAAACTCATGTGACTTGTGACTAAAACACTGGATACCATTAAAATGTATGGTGTGATGGCACACACCTGTAATCCCAGCAGCTGAGGAGGCTGAGACAGGAGGATCAAAAGTTCAAAGCCAGCCTCAGCAATTTAGTGAGACCCTAAGCAACTCAGTGAGTTGCTTAAAATACAAAATAGGACTGAGGATGCGGCTCAGTGCCCCTGAGTTCAATCCCCAGTACCAAAAAAAAAAAAAAAAAAAAAAAAAAAAAAAAAAAAAAAAAATGTGTGGCTCGGGTATATGCCCATGAGTTGTGACATAAGGAAATTTAATCTGGTATCGGAGAGGAAATGAACATCTAGATGATGATTCAAATAAACCAAGGTGAAGATTCCACTTCAGGGTGGAGTTCAGCTACTTACTAGACCCTGGAAAATGTCTCTTTTTATATACAGGAACAAAATTTTGCTGCAAATTAAAGGAGAAAAAAAACCACCTATGGCCTGGACAGGCCCTCTTATGTTCAGTGTATCAATTCCAGATACTGAAAAGAAAATCACTAACATTCAACAAATATATTCCTTGATTTTCACATATAGCATGCCTTAACTAAGTAAAACACAATTATCAGCTCTTTTACTTAAAACATACCATGAAAGTAATGTGAAAGAAAATGCTTAAGAATGACTTCAGTTTGTAGAATAAGTTTTCAAGGCTGCACCTGAGAAAGTCTATGGCCAAGACAGACTGAATTCCTCCAATCACAAAGCAACAAAGAACGGGAGGAACAACATGGCATAAGCTCTCCCTTCTAAAAACCATCTTGTGGCAATCATACTGAAACCTTAATTGACTTGGAATCCTCAAGCTATATCAACTCCGATATTTTGAAAGCCCCAGACCATGGGTAGTGGTTGGATCAAACTCCTATATTTCAGTGATTTAACTGCTAGAATCCTAGTAGAAAGCAAATATTTAATGACTGAGATGAAAGGGGAGTTGAGGGGTCCTCATTTTTTATGGACCAGAAGTCAGAATTCACACGGAGAAGCATGAATAACCGCTTTAGATCTATGTCCAATTTTCAAGTGTCTTCAAAGCAAAAACGCTGGCTACTACACTTCCTGATTCCTCCTATTCCAAGACAGGGGTGGGGAACAGCCGAACCCAGTGAACTCTGAGCTCCTTTGTGGTGCTGAGGTGAAACCAGAAGACAAGTTTCCTTTAGAAATCTAAAACCCAAACCACAGGGACCCAGTTCTAAATTCAGTTTCTTTAAACAAACATTTGTGACTGGGTGGCCCACAGGCCAAAAAAAGCAAAAAACAAAAACACCAAAAACCTAAAACTTGAGAACTTTTGAAGACAGGCAAACCTCAAAGCTGGATAGTCATCTCATTAGGAATAAGGGAGAAAAAAAAGTTTCCCAGCCTCCTCCCTTTCCCCACTTGTCAAGAGCCTAAAATAACCCAAGCAAGAGTGTATGTTATTCCCTTCGATGGCTCTGGATTTATCATACAAATGCCCTAGCACCCAAGTTGCTAGAAATGAGGAGCCGGGCATTAAATTCCAACACTCCTTGAGTCATCCACCACAGTACTGCTGTATCCTTGCCAGTTTGATTGCTCAGTGAACACTTTTTGTCTCAGTGTCACTAAACTTATTAGGAAGAAAACAAGAAAGACTTACTTGTATCTCAGAAAGAGCCACTGGGTGATCCATAATCCAACTAATATAATCCCATTGATTTCTGATACAGAAAATGCCCATTTCACCCGATCAATGTAATCAAAAAACTTGTCTGGGAGGGGAGGGCTGAGCTCCTTGGGAGGGACCCTCTCGTGCACAACTGTGATCATGACTGTTGTCAAGACGAGGTTGAAGAGTGCGTACACGAAGGCAATGCCCGTTTTCCACCACTCTAGGGGAAACTTGTTCCTCGACTCGGTGGGCATAGCAATTTGGATATAGTCCGGGTACTTTTTGGTGCCCTTTCGCAGCCCATTGGATAAACTCTTAGCTTTACCATTGCCATTTTTGTTTTCTTCCTCGACGGGCTCAGCAGGTCTTGTGTAAGTGTTTGCCGGATCATTGGATTGATTTTCCAAATGTTCTTCAAGTTTTGCTGTCTCTATGATATCCATTGTCCCCAGTCTTCAGATCAAAAAGGAGATGGTAAAGTTCTTGTTCTTTGTGGTAACTTATTTTTTTTGAATCCTTCTACTTCCAAGATCAACATGGACTCTTATAATTGATTTTGTTTCCTAATACAAAATGCAGAAGGTAGCCATCTGATTATTGTTCCTGCCATATAGCTGTCTGCTGCACGTCCACCACTCTTACGAAAGGAAGCCAATTCTCGTTCCCCCAAAAGATGTTACTATCCCACCTAAAAATAAAACAAAACTATGCTCAGATAATAAGTTTGTCCAATTATCAAAATTCCGAAACAAAAACATTCTCAAAATAAGGAAACAAATACCAAAGCCATTTGCTTTATAAAGATATTGTTAGAACACAGTTGACATTGCAGAGATTGAATTTGTTTACAAAACATTGAACTGTTTAATCCTGGTATTCCTGTCTCTTTTTGAACTGATGTCAGTATAAATAGGAACATTTTAACTATCAATTCCCTTTAAATTTCTTTAAATAAAAGACAGGACCCAACATTGTAAACACTTCAGACTGTGTTACTTGTTGCTAATCATGAAGTCATAATAAGCTAGAACCTGCCCAGAGGTCACATCATTCTCTCCTAAGACTGTATCTTTTCTATGAACCTTAAAGAAAAAATTAAAAACTCCGGTAAGTTGCTTCAATCGTCCATGCACGGAATAACTGTTAGTCTCTGCATCTGTCAAAATAGTCTATTTTCTGATGAAAACACGGATGTCCTTTTGGTGACTACATTTAAGAACCGATTCCAGAGCAAGACATTCAAGGTATTTAGAACAGCACTGCCTCAGTTTATCCTTGCATATTCAGAGATACACACCATGCACAGGAAAAGTTGGCAGCCTTCAAAATACTTAGTGAAAAGAAATACAGAACCTTGTCTATGTTTCATTTAGAAAGCAAGCTGTTTTAAGGATAAGATCTTTTACTACAAAGTCATGGTAAATTAGTAACTGACAATATCTGACGCAACCATCAGAGTTTCTATCCAACAACAGAAACTGGCATCCAGAGGACTCGCTTGGGGCCACTTACTCACCGTGACACTGATGAGGAAAGGGTAAGCTTGGCTTAAGCTCCACAGGCTCCAAAGAGCAAAGACTTCTTTGGGACACAGAGCACCACCACCAACTCTCTTATACTAGCTAGCAACATGCTCCAGCTGTTCTTAATTTAGCAAAGCAGTATTTTAGTCACACTATGGAACCACCACCTGAAGAGGTTTTCAAACCTTGTAATTAAGTCCCCACCCTGAGCACACTGCACAACTTTAGCATAATCCTTAGAATTTTAAAGGACTCTCTTTTCAGGGCAATTTCAGGAAAAATAGAAGGACGAAAAAAATTCAACATAGTGACAGCTAAGTCTTTCTTTAATGAAAGAAAAAAGAGAAAATTTAAAACAGCACCCTTAGGCTATATTTATTTACAGCTATGAGTGGTAAACAGAATAACTACAAGTGTTTACTGTGCATCTGCTGAAGGATATATGAGGGGAATTAAAGGGGGTTTTAAATAAGCTAAAATATACCTAGATATTCAGCCAAAGAGCTTGTAGTCTAACTGAAGAGATAGAACCAAAGCAACAAACTGTTGGAGAAGACTGAATACATACTGTCAAAGGAAGGCAAGGGCTAAACTGATCACTAGATAAAAATGTAGGCTTAAGTGGGCTCCGTGGTGCACGCTGTAATCCCAGCGACTTGGGAGGAGGCCAAGGCAGGAGGATCACAAGTTCAAAGTCAGTTGTGGCAATTCAGTAAGACCCTGTCTTAAAGTAAACAAAATAAAATAAAAAAGGGGGTAGGGATGCAGGATGTAGCTCAGGGACAGAGCAGTCTGGGGTTCAGTCCCCAGTATTAAGGAAAAGAAAAAAATGTAGGTGAGTTGTACTTTATTCTGGTCCTGTCAAGAGGTCTCCCCTCACAGAAACAGTCCATATTTGAGAAAGCAGAAGCTGGAGGGAAGGTGACCTAACAGACAACTGGAGAATGACTGGAGAACGAGTTTGGCGGAGAGATGTCACTAGCTTTCAACATCTTGCCTGCCTCCTGTCCCTTTGAAAAGCCTCCCGCTATTGATACATTAAAGCAGGATGAGAAAGTCCAAAGCCCTCTGGCCTCACATATTCTCTAGAGTACCCTCCCTCGTATATACAGTGGTGTGGGAAGCAGCAGCACCGTGAAAAGGTACCACCGCAAGACAGTTTCAATAGCAAACCTTCAACACCACGGACTACTACTTTAGTAGGCACCAAAGTTCTAATTCAAACCACTGCCTGTGGCTTCATCAACCCTCGCCTGATCCATCAGAGCATCTTGCCAAGCTATCAGTCAAATTCCCATCAATACTTCACGTGTGCTCCTAGTCTGATGTTCACATGAGAAAGAAGCTTGTGATTTTGAAACCCCATTTCTTCCGTAGACATACAGATGAGCTTTGTAAGGTAGGCACCTAATTCTAGAACACAGAATGTGGAACAGAGGAAAATCTAATTAACTTTTTTTTTTTTAAATGAGGAAGCACTCAGGCACCCACCTCAGGGGACTACGACTAGGATGACTG